CTCCCTTCTATTCTTCTGTCTTTTTTCCTCCCCTTTTTGCAGCGTGAAGTTGCTGCCTCTTTACCCCTTTTTGACTGATTTTTACTTCAATTTTTTTTCTCTCTTTCAAGATTTGTTTCAACCAAATTGTTTTCTTTCTCCCTTCTCTGTTCTACTTTAAATTTTTCATCAAGATTTTATTCTTTTGAAATTTTATCTTGTACAATATATATTATAATTTTTGACATTTTATAAACATTTCAGATTCCTCTTCTTGAGTTCTTTTGTAATTTCGGCACATAATGCCATTTTTCTAGGTTAGGCTCTGTCATTTTTTAAGCGCTCTGCTATCGTTGTGTTACAACCTTTTATTTTCTCTTTTACAATAAGATAATAATTTTACATTCATGTCAATCAATTTTTTTAGTTGTTCAAACTAATTTTATGATTTAAATTCCAAATTGGCATAAATTTCCATGGTTTTCCGTATAAAATGTTCCGTTGACAATTAGTGTCATTTTTATGTTCCGTTGTCCGATCCGTAGCCGCTCTCAAACAAGTCTCAATCTTGCCACAACCATGTTCTCTGGTGCCAAATCTGCAATGATAGATGACCATATTTATATATAAAAAATATTGAAATATAATTTAATGTCATATTAAAATTGTTATGTCATTTTGTAACAAAATAAATGGCAATAACAGATATAAGACATGGCATTATTTGCCTAACATATCTATTTAGTGCCAACTTCATAAATGCAAAATGACATTATTTGCCAAACGTATTTTTTTGCAACATATTTGCTAAACATATTTAAAAAAATGATATTTGTAAAAAAAATTGTTATTTTTTTTTTTCAGAATAGTTTTGTCATCTTAATACATGTAATATCATATTATGAGATTGCTTTCAAATAATTTTTCAAAAATAAACATTAGTTATAGAATTTTCAAATCCAAATTCACTAAATTGAAATTTTTGAAATAAAAAAATCAAAATAAACAAATACAAATTAGATCCAATTTTTTTCATTCCCTGGAGTACGTATCTTAATACTAAAAAGTCGAATCTAAATTTTTAGATAATCAAGTTTTGGAGTTTCAGATATTTGACTCCCAAAATTTCAAATCTAAATCTAAGGCTTTTCATTTTGAATCTGAAAAGTAAAACGAAAAATTACATAACCCAACTGAAGAAGAAAAGGAGGAGGATGAGAAGGTGGATGAGGAGGATGAAGAGAAGAAGATAGATACTTACCGGAGAGGACCAACGACGTCGCCGGAGTCGTAGCAAACGTCGGAGTGAAGTCGCTGCCGCTGGAGTAGAAGATCGATTCTTTGTGTGTCCGATTGGTGGTGCAGAAGAGTAGAAGGATGAGGAATGGGGAAATTGCGGCGGCATCTAGTGGCGGCGTCCGGCGGCGGCGGCATCTAGTGGTGGCGTCCGGCGGCGGCAATGGGTGATGGGCAGCAGTGACTGGTGCAAGTCCTGCCCCCTGGGTGGTTCCGGCGGGCGGCGGCAACTTCTACAGGATGGAGTGGCCGAGAGAGAATGAGGGAAAATGATACTCTGAAATGCATTTAATTTATTATTCTACTTTATATTTTTACTAAATAGATTGGAGTATTCATTAAGGGCATTCTAGTCCCTTACTATTAATTTCCGTGCAGCGAACTTCAAATGAGATAGGAGTCCTATTTGGAATATTTAATATGTTTTACTCCTATACTAAGAATTCTCTCTTCATTCTTTTGGCGTGTAATTATATATTGGCACATTACATTTCTGTTCAATTTGTTCAATTTGTTGGAGTGGGTGAAGGGTTCTAGCTTAGTAAGAACCCTCTTAGAATCAAAACTTTTAATCGTGATCATTCATTTTTATAATCAGTGGTTTATACATTGACAAGAGTACATTTTTATAATCATTAAGGATTAATTGCAAACAGGACCGGCTCAATAAATTAGGAGACCCGACGAAAGTCACAAAAAATAGGTCTTATATTAAATCAATACAATACCAAAAATCAACCCTAAGAAACACAAAAAAACACTAAAGATAAATGTGAGATTGAGAAATGATCACTTTTTCGAACTTGAACAAATAAAATTAGTAAAAAAATCTAAAATCGGAAATGAACGAATGGAAATACGATAAGAAAAAGTGAATTTTTTACCTTTGATTGGATAACCTGAATAGTTAGATCATTCGGGCAAATAGAGTAATCAACTATTTTAAAAAATAATTACCCTATACATATACACTGTATATATTTTTACAAAAATGGGCCTTATATTTTTGGAGGCCATGTGCAAAGGCACGCTTTGCACGCCCTCATCTACGACCCTGATTGCAAAGATAATCCATTGAAATATAAGATAATTATAAATATGACTGCATGTGAATATTAACCGACTACAACTAATGAAAAGTTCAAATGAAAAAATGAGAAATAATGCTACTTGTACACGCTCGATTACACGTTGTCTTACACTCCCAAATGTAATTGTCTGTATACTAACAATTGGTTTTAAATTTATTAAAAGAAAGTGTCTGTGCATAGACAGCTCAAGATCTCAACGCTTTCCTTTAATAAAACTAAAATCAATTATTTGTGCATATACAATTACAGCTTATGTGAACCGAACGTTTACAAGTAGTATTACTCTTAAAAATTCGCTCAAGAATCCTCCCGTTGGACTACAAAGAAAAGTCAATGATTACTTGTTTAATACGTGGTGTTAGTTGAAGAAGCCAAGTGTCCCAATATTCCTTTATACTCCATCATGTAAGTGACTCGACAATAATCAACTGCATCATTTCGATTGGTCCATGTGGACAAATGTATGGTACATTATGAGTACCATAGAATCTACCATAATCAGAAGAATTGTTTGACAATTGAGCCGTGAATTGAATCGCACTGGTATGCATGTGGCAGAGGACGCTCCAAAGATGTTTTCGAATGAAATTTGCTGGTCTGATCTGGTCTGGTAAATGTCTGGTCCTTATGTATATATAACTGCGGAAGTCTGGTCTGGTCTGATCTGATCTGATTTGGTCTGATTTGATCTGATCTGAGACTGAAAATAGTCCAAAAGAAAACATAAGTACTGTTACTCCGTATAACTTAATTCCACCATTGAGGTTGTGGATGGTCGTTCTTATGTTTTCCGGCACACTCAACCTATCATGGATACAAATTAACTTATTTTTTACAAAATAATTGAGAATTTGCCTTAAATGAGAGTAACACATAGTGAAAGTTCCGTAATAGGAGTTAGGCTATGTTTGGCACAAAAAAATCTATAGCTTTTACCTTCTCTATTATTTAAAAAGTCTCTAAAAGACTCTAGTTGTGTGTTTGGCCCGTTAACTTATTTGAGAAGTCTGTATCTTTTACGAGACGCTAGGGAGGGTAGCGTTCAATAGGAAGATCTTTTCAGTTTTTTTATGCTTCCACGTATAACCTTGCGTCCCCACCCCTTCATCTTCTCCGATTTAAAATTTGCTTCACCGTGAATATCCCAAAGTCTGCCATCTGCAGCTACGTTCCAATTTTCTTCATTGTTCTGGGTCTCTTTCTTAAACGCTTCCAGCCATCTATGTTTTTCGCAGATGTGCTTCTTGATTTTTATTGAGTTTCGTTTAACAATTTGTAGCCAAAATTTGTGTGATATTCAAGCTTGGTAAAAATTGTACTCGAAATTGGTTTTAGGTTTATTTGAACTTAATTATTTAATCTACTCCGTATGTTTTTTGGAATTGAAATATATTTCTTGATTTTATTCTTGTATTGAGTATTATCAACAAATACCTTGCCAGCTTTTTGGGTTTTTATTTGATCAATCTCCAGGTTCTATCCATTCATTATAGTGCTGATATTTTAGGGTAATAGTTGTTGTTTTCCGTCAATTTTTCCTGCTTCTTTGGTTAAATACTTCAATACAATGGCCGTATGTTGTTGTATTTTTCACTTCTTTGATTATTATTTTTATTTGATCAATGTCCATGTTTTATACATTCATTATAGTGCTGATATTACTAGTTTTCTGTCTTTATTTTGTCTATTTTTCACTTCTGTTTTTTCCTCAATTTTTGTTGGAATTATTTTTTGTGCCGATTTTTACCAAGTTTTATTGATGTTATCACCTAATATTTTGCTACTTTTAGTTTCATTTTTCTTTTTGTGTGTGTCAGCTGTTTTGTTATTACCATATGGTTCTTTTACTTGTTTTTATATGTTCCAGTTTCTTTGTGTACATGTTTTTTGCTTTTTTACCACGTTTTTGTGCAATGCACATCAGCAACTCAAAGCACGAAAAATACTGGTTTTTGTTGTGAAATTAGCTATGTGTGTATTCTATTAGCTCATAAATTAATAATATTTGATCATGTCCTTAATTGTCATTCTATAGTTTCAGCTACTTACAACAGCTAGTTTTGCCAAACATGACTATTTAAAACTGACGACTTTCATTAAACAGCTACGATCTTTTCCGTCTGCAAGCTTTTCAGCTCAAAAAAGCTAACAGTTACTATAAAGTCTAAAAAAAGATCTTTTCAGCTTGTCATTCCAAACATAGGCCATGTTTGGCACACAAAAGCCTCCGCATTCTAGCTTCTCTTTTCTTTAAAAAGACCTTAAAAGACTCTAGTTGTATGTTTGGCATGACATTTTTTAAGAGCTTTTCAAAAATTAAAAGATCTTTTTTGAGATGCTACCGGGTATAGCATCTGAGAAAAGCTCGTGACTTTTAGTATTAATTAGTCCTAACAGCTTGTATACCAAACCGAACTAAATCAAACAGTCGGCTTTTTACTAAACAGCTATCACCTTTTCTTTTTAAGATCTTTTCAGTCACTAAAAGCTAATAGTTACTAAAAAGCTCACAAAAGTATCTTTTCAACTAGTTGTGGCAAACATACCCATAGTGTTACTCCTCTTTTTTCTCAAAAGAGGAGTTCATATTACTTATTTTCCCTTCTTATAATAAAACTATTCAATCCCTAATTAATTTGATGGGCCAAGCAACTCATCCGTTCCTCTCTTTCCTGCGCAAAGAGGCAAAGAGGCGAAAGACCAACCTTGCTGCACCGCTACTCATCCCTTCTTCTCCGACGAGATCGACCGTTCATCTCCGGTAATCTTCTTCCTCTCCTCCTTCTCTCCTCCTTCTTCTTCTCTTCTCTTTCTTCTCCCCCCTCCTTCGCTTTCTCCTGTGTTGTTCTTCTTCTCTTGAATTTTTTGTTATTCTCCATTATTATTATTTTTGTTTCCATTTGAGATTCAAACTGAAAAATTATATTCTAGATCTGCAAATTTTGGATTGCAAAATGAGAGACTCCAACGATTTAATTTAGACTAAAAAATTTAGATATGTTTTTATTTTATTCTTTATTCATACTAATTTATTTTTTTAAAAATTCTGGGCATTTTTAAATCTAAAAAATGGAAATTCGTAAGATGGGAGTTCTTTGAAAATGAAGATTACGGGGGTGTATTCAATATGGATTGTGGTGGACTTTTTTTTAATCCATGGACTTCTAAAAAAGTCTATGGACTTCTAAAAAAGTCTATGGACTTTTAAATTCATAGACTTTTAATCCGCTGACTTGTAAATCTGTAGACTTTTAAATCCGTGGACTTTTAAAATAAATGACTTTTAAACGAGTGACTTCTATGGATTTCAATAAATCCATAGACTTTTACTTGGACTTATTTCATACCAGATCTAACTAGATCAGACTTTAACAAAGCAAATCAGACTTTAATAAATAAGAATCGCTACATAGAAAATATGACAAATAATGTCAAATATAATAGCTAATGTTCTCTATTCCGAATGAGGTCAAGCATAAGCATTAAAAAATTATAAGAAAAAAAAAATAAAGTCATCAATGCACAAAATGGGAACAAACGTCTTGTGCTACTCAACTATGGATCAAAATTATTCATTTTCTGCAGCTTCCCACATTTGAGTAGCAAGATTCATCCTCCATTCATTGGCCTTTTCCCTTTGTTGATCTTGTGTCTGAAAGTTATCCCATTCAAGATTGTCCTCATCATCGCTAGGTGGGTCTTCTTCTGGGTCCGGAGGAAATTCGTCGGATCGACATTCACGTCGAAGAAAATTATGCACTCCTGCACATGCCAAAACTAATTCTGCTTGTGTTTTATAAGAGAAAGGAGGTGCTGTTTTGAAGATTGTGAAGCGTGACTTGAATATTCCAAATATCCGTTCAATCACATTCCTCAAAGAAGCATGACGAAGATTGAATAGTTCAACCGCATTAACATGGTGATTTCCTTCACCACCAAAATCCTTTAGATGATACCGAGTACCTCGAAATGGAGCTAAAAATTGACACCGATTTGCAAATCCACAATCTCCCAAATAATATTTTCCTAGACATTGAATCATTACACAATTAGTCTATTATACAATGCAATAAGTAATTGGTAACAAAGATTTGGATAAACATGTTAAAGTGTACCTGGTGGCACTTTAAGACCATTTGGTCTTGAAATTGCATCATTTAACACTTTTGAATCATGGGCAGAACCCTCCCAACCACTAAGCACATATATGAATTGCAAATCAAAGTTGCAAGCAGCTAGTACATTTTGAGATATAGTCCCATGACGATTTCGATAGCTGTTCACTTCTCGTCCAGGTACGATTGCTGGAATATGAGTGCCATCTATTGCTCCGATGCACTCCTAGCATTAGGAAAAGAAGAAATACCAAAAAAAAATAATTAATCGATCATCATTAATCATGTAAAATTGGTGAAGTGCATTAGGAAAAAAAATACCAAAAAAAATTAATTAATCATCCTTAATCATCAATAAAGTTTTGCATTACTGGCCTTGAAATGAGGATAAAACCTTGTACTCTCTCTGATGACATGTGGTATAGATTCCGGTTTGGCCATAAAGTCGGGAGCTATTGTATTCAACGCTTTCAATACTTTGTTGAAGCTTCTGCTAATGCTGAAGTGCGACCGCTTAAATATCATTCTTGGTTGACAATAGCGGTTATTGTGGCCGATAATAAGTAAAAATGTTGCCACCATTTCTTCAACACAAATATACCTTGTATCTCTTAAAGGGGTTTTGTTTCTTAGGATACAACATAATTTTTGAAAAATGTTAGGATACATTCTGTATACATTTCTAAATGTTTTAGGATCTTCGGCCATTATTTCATCCATATATTTAATCCCATTAGCCGTCACAGGTCGACGAGTCAATGGGCGTGGAACAGGTTCATCATTAATTCTTGAAGCGAGATTGTATATCAAGTAAGTTACTGCTTCTATTGCCATTAGCAATATCTTAAGAGTCCCATAAAACTCAACCTCATCTTCATCTGCTCCATACACATCTGTTTCACACATTGCTAAAAGAAGAAAAAAGGCATAAACTTTAAAAAGTGAACTATGATGTATTTTATAATAAAAGCATTCTAACGGATAATACATAAAATAGTTCAAATAATCCATATCACTTTGCAATCCAAATAAATTAAATCACTCCAACAAAAGATAAAGTAAATACGCAACCATGGCCTATTTATTATTAGATATCTCTAGAGGACGAATCTAATGAAGTTGTTTAACGATTGACGATCCAGTGATAGCGTTGTTCGGGGGTCATTCTTAAAAAGAAATCTTGCTTCGCTTTCGTATTCAGCAAATCAAGAGCTTTAAAGCAATCCTCGTCTGTTAATCCAGGGGTCTCTTTCATAGCATCCAAAACATCATTGTCCCTTGCTTCTCTCTTCTCCATTAAATAACAAATTTTATCAAAACTCTTAACAATTTTATTAAACCCTGTTGACAAGCTCTCAATAACCTCTCCGTGACTATTAGGTTCCGTTGTTCTTCCATTGTTCTCAAAATCATTTCTACCCCTTTTTCCTTTAGCTCTATTGCTTGATGAAGGTGGATCCTCTATATTTCTACCACCATCTTGGGGAAGATATGATGAGTCCTCCTGGTGGGATGATGCATTTTCACTCGGTGTGAACGTGTTAGTATTTGGATCAAAAAATAACCCATCAATGCCACCAATTCCACCCGATTCATCATCTACTCCTAACACTGTAGCATCCGTATTTTCACCAAGACCAATTGCACCCATCCCAGTTGCAGTTCCATTTCCCACTGCGATTCTCAGATCCTCATAGTCCGGACAAGTTTCTGATCGAAGGTGTGCATGTTCTTTATGTGACTGATATATAAAAAATATAAAATTTGTTATTATGATGTTAAAAAATAGATACACAAATGAATAAAAAAAATGCCCACCTTCAAGTAGTCAGCCCATACTTCTTCGGAAGCAGTGAATTTCTTTGTGGATGCATCCCATCCGAATCCAGAGTTGTGCCGCATAAGTTGAGAGTAATTGGAGTATTGTTTTTTAAACCATTTGAGTCTACTTTGGTAATGATTAAAACTAATTTCATAACCAAGCTTTTCCTTAAGTTTAGGAAGGAGTCTGGTCTCTACCATTTGTTTACTTATCACACCATTTATATCACGAAGGCCAAGTTTGGCACTTTCAACCATTAGCTGAAGCAAGACATTACTCTCTTCTATGGTCCAAGTTTTATAATCCTTTTTTTTCCATTACCTTGTGAATCACCCATCTACAAGACATGTAAAACCAATCACACAAACAATAAAGACAAACTCATACCGTTTGACTTTAGTAATTAGTGGTGTTAGTTAACACATCTTTAAATAAAATCCAATCAGTCCTCTTTATATATATAAAATCTCACACGCCATGATTTTAAAGTGAAAACGAAAACAAAAAAATATATATTGAAAATCGGATGGACTATAATGGGCAAGAATAGAAAAAACATTTTTATATACTCTACGGAATGTCCTTAGCCGAGTTGTGATTGCTTAGGTTGTCCACCAAATAGAGCAGCAACAGTAGTACTTTGTAACAACAATAATAAGGGGTATATGAGTGATCGAATGCACCCATCCCAGTACTTTGTGATTGCTTATGTAACAACAATACTCTGTTCATAATCCTTTCTCAAAACAATAATAGGAGTGATCGAATTACTGCTGGATCGTACGTATACTTTGTAAATAAAAAAGGGTACAAAAAGCAGATAGAAACCCAAATAACAACAAAACTATAATAGTCATACTAATAATAAAAAAGGTAAACAAAAAAGCCCAACTGCCATTCCCTGCTTATGAACATACTACGCATTTTTGGCTTGTCTGTCGGCTCTCTGCTTTTATTTTTTTTAATTGAAAAAAACATACACAAGAGACCATATCCGAATGGTGGAGGTTGATTTACAGTGCACTAAACATTCAGACCTTGTTCTAAATTACTCCTACCAACACCAATCACACAACTCCATAGCTTAGGAAGAAGTTGATGATATCATCAAAGTTAAATTGAAGTACGTGATGAGCCACTTTTGCAATCTGGTATAGTCTTTTGAAAAAAGATATATAGTGGAGAGGTAAACATTATAAGTTCGATCTTGTTATTTATATAAATATACATATGTATACATATACATATAAATACATAGCACACATAGGAATAATGATAGGAATACATGTAAACATTATAAGTTCGATCTTGTTAACGCCTTATGTCTTCTGCAAACTACTGCGGAAAAGCATTCTATGAAGAAAAGTTTGCGTGAAGCTCAAACACTAGGTTTTTCCCCACTCGAGTTTAAAAGCACAATTCAATGAAGAAGATATCCAAGAGCAGATGCGTACATACCTGGGACAGAAGAGGCGAGTTGGGCGAGACGTACAAGAGCAGAGGCGTGAAAACCCTACGGGGGGAGAAAGTCTGCGTAAAATAATTGGGTGGAGCACGAGACAATTCAATCGAATGGGTATGTATACGAGTTGTTCTAAAGTCCATGAGAATCCACTATTTTTAAAATCCACAAGATTTGTTAATTTTTTGAATACACCCATACTTTTATTGACTTTTAGAAGTCCTAATTGATACACCTAAACTTTGATAGACTTTTAAAAGTCTATATTCAATACACTTAGATTTTTAAAGTCCATGGACTTCTAATATTTTGCCACTAAATCCAAATACAATACACCCCCCTACATGAACACGGCCATTTACACATTTGATTTATTATGCACTAAAATAACATTGGGCATCAAGAAATGGTGTTCGGTTTTTTATTTGTTTTCTGCTTTTGCTCTATCATTTCCTGGGTTATCTACTCGACGAGTACTCAGCTAGGTCTCGGCGAGTACTCTCTACTCGGCCTCCTACCTTGCAGAGTAGCACCTTAACTCGGTCCGAGTTAATTTTCCGAGTTACTCGCCGAGTACTCGGCGAGTTAGTCAACTCGGCGAGTTGGTCAAATTGGCGAGTTACTCGCTATTACTCGGTATATAAAAAAAGAGCATGTGCTTACAAAACCTAAACATATAATCGCTACTGGTCATCGTTTGGATCATCGACTACTGTTGCTATATCGTTCGGAGCTGTGACTGCTACTGCCAGAAGCTCCGACCGCTACTACTACGAGCTGCGACTCGCAACATTGCTACTGCGAGGAGTTGCGGTTGTGACATCAACGGATAAGTTCTTTCCCTCGTTTCTTGAATTCTTTCCTCTTGTTAAAAAAATTGAATCAATCATAGGATTATTAATTCCCTCTCGTTTATCCAAACTGCTGCAGCCGCAATTTTTGACCATTGAATTCCAAGTTTTCAAGTTTCTTAGTTATTTAATTCTTAAGGCATGAAGTTCCCTTTATACTACATACGTATAGTAGTATTAAGCTTTCATTTTTTATATTAATTTTTCCTTGGCAGTGTGTATGTTTGGAGCTTTAGTCAGAATTGATTTCAATTCTTTCGTAGATTCCCCTCCCCTGTCTCATTTCATATCATTAGGATAATAATAGGATTTTGCTACTCCATCTTAGGATAATAGGATTTCTATTATTTTTATTCACTTCTACGCATTTTAAGAGAATTTAAAGACTATTTTAAGAGTACTATATTTCTATAATCCCGGGCACCTGTATTATTATAGTTAATTAATACAAGGCCGAGTAATCACCGAGTAACCCGAGTAATCGGTCCTACTCGCTACTCGGCCTTCGACTGAGTTGCTACCGAGTAGCGAGTAAACTACCTAGATCATTTCTGATTTATTTATTTTTAAAACATAATAGTGCCATTTTTTAATTATTTCTTTTTAAAACATAATAGTGCCATTTCTGATTTATTTATTTTTAAAAATACAGTGCCATTTATGGAATTATATATTGCCATTTCTAAAGTCACAAAATGACATAATTTTATTTTTATTTGAACATTATTGCTTTGAAGGTAATAGCATTTATGCAATTATATAATGCCATTTTGTTTACACCCTGGGCAAACAGTGCCATTTTTATGGAAATTATTTTATCAATATGTTAATATTATTTTCAATGCCATGTTTTTGTATTATGAGTGCCATAATTTTTTAAAACCAAAATGCCATAATTTTTTAATCCCAAAGTGCCATGTTGTAGATCTTAAAGTGTCATAAGAGTGTCATGGATGGTTGCAGTGTAGATCCAGCTCGCGGCGGCCATGGCAAAAGAGAGGATGCCAAAGAAGAGGTGACGATGGTGGTTGCAGAGGTGGCGGCGTGCGGTGGAAGAGCCAACGGTGGTTGGTGGTTGAAGAGCCGTTGGCGACGATGGTAGTTGTAGAGGCGGCGAACGATGGTGGAATTGAAGAGCCACCAGTGACAGTGACAGGTGTGGAGGCCGGTGGTGGAAGAGTCGCCTCCTGCCAGCGACAGGGAGGATGGATACGGATGAGATGACGGGTGGTAGAAAAGTTTCATTTAAAAGAAATGTTGTCTTCCGTGTCTTGTACAGAGTATTCATTTGTACAGAGTATTCATTTGCTTTAAATAAAAGAAATCACATGTTTCATTAAGGGTAAATCTGTCATATTTTATGTTTTAGCTCCTACCGAACTCCTAGGTCCTATTTTTGCATTTTTCTAATGTTTTACTCTTAGTTAGCTAATTACCCCAAAATAATTCAGGAGGCTCGTACTATAACTTATTTTTGAGATTTTGGAGTTAAATGTGATATTATGGCATCATCACTAATTCACTATCATTCACTTTTGATTGTCTTTTCTAAAATGAAACATTGCACGAGACTAAAGCTATGTTTGGCACATCAAACTGGAACTGAACGCTAATGTCTGAAATAGGGTCTATTGTCTGAAGCAAAGACTATTGTTTGAAATTGAACTTGAAAGTGCTGAATCTGAATTGCTAGCTGAATGGAGTAAACTCGTTTGGCAAAAAGAGCTGAACAAGTGCAGGAATAATATGAAATTACATTAAAGGACATATGATTATAATATAATATAATATGATATGATATGATATGATATGATATGATATGATATGATATGATATGATATGATATGATATGATATGATATGATATGATATGATATGATATGATATGATATGATATGATATGATATGATATGATATGATATGATATGATATGATATGATATGATATGATATGATATGATATGATATGATATGATATGATATGATATGATATGATATGATATGATATGATATGATATGATATGATATGATATGATATAATATAATATAATATAATATAATATAATACGGAGTATAATATAATATTTTCCGTAATTGCAAATAAATTTAGAATTCGAGTTGTAATTTTCCGAAGATATAAGTTCTGTTGATGAATTTCTAAACAAACACTCCGATTTACTGAACTCCATCCATAGTTACCCAGGTGATCGACATTCAAGGCATAGTAATCCTTCCCATGTAGCACCAAAGAAAGCAGGCAGTGCTTGACCCCAAAAAAAAACAATTAATACAAAGTGGAGAGGATAAGGATTTGCATTAGACGGGGAGTGGTGGAGGAAATAAAAAATGATAGTACATATATGGAAGCTCTGCCTTAAAACCCTGCGCAATGAGTCAAGGAATAAACTGTTATTGCGTGATTGATTAACAGGGATAAGATGGGAAACGGAAGTCTGGAAAGTCGAGGCTGAATGTAAACGTTTCCTTCAACGTTTCAGTTCAGATCATATATTTCAGATGAAACCCACTTTAGCCCTCCAAAGGAACACTTTAACTTTAATTAAAAATGACTGAACTTTAATTATATCAGCTCTTTTTGAGCTTTTGTGGCTCACCGAACAAAGCCTAATAGTGTCCGTTAAGTTGACGTTGTGATGGATCCAATTAAGACTCAACGGTGAGTTTACGGACTTTAAAAATTATTTTCTCCAATGAGCTTACATCTTTTAATTTAGAGCATGTTTCATGAGTAAATTAAAGACAAATTAAAAACCAAAAACGCAATAAACAGTGGCGGAAAAGTCGGAAATGTTGGAGGGGCAGAAATGAAAAATGAAAAGGGAAGCTCTCCGACAACCTGACAAGACAGACGGCTTTTTGCAGCCCTGCAATTCCAATCTCCGTCAAGGCAAGCCGACGAAAAGAAGTACTCCCTCCGTCCCTTATAACTTTGCCAACTTTCCTTTTTTGGATGTCCCACTAACTTTGTCACTTCTCTTTTAAGTAAAGAATATGTGGTTCCAATTAATTTTCTCTCCTCTGTTCAAACCTCAACCACACAGTTTTTATTTTATTAATCCCCGTGCCGGTCAAACTTGACAAAGGATTAAGGGACGGAGGGAGTAATGATCGAAGAGGCTCTGCCACCTTCTTTAATGATCTGAAGATGGAAATAGCTAGCTAGGGTTTTCTAGAATTACATTTGGCTTCTCGGACGTAGGAGTCGGCGGCTGCTTCTGATTTTTCTGGACGAGGAAAAGGAGAAGAGAGGTGAGGGACTGAGGGTGGAGGACTCGGGCATAATTGTATACAGAGTTTTACGACTATTTTTGAAATAAATATAACAAAAGTGAATAGGGGAAAGTCTAAAATTGAAAGAAAAATACTCCCAAGACATAAAGGAAATGATACGGGTAAAAGTGGTTCAAATGGGTAATTTCCACAATAATTTTATATAGTGTGCATATATTTAACGTATTGGACGAGTGACTCAAACTTACTCCTTTCCAACACTTAAGATGAGTTCTTGAGAATGCGGTATGAGTCAAGTGACATAGGGATTGCAAGAGTTTTTATAAAGAAATTTCCCAAATAGGACTAAATTAAATTTTAATTGCTAAAACAGGAGTATTACAGGACCATATATCTTAAAATTTTCCTAAATAGGACTAACTTTCCAATTCTACCCTTACTTTGTTTTAATACAATTCATATTTCATTAATAATTAAATATAAAATAATAACATAACTTAATTTATAATTAAAATGTAAAAAATAAAAAACATGAAATTAAAATTATTTAAAATTAATAAAAATAAAAGATTCGGAAAATAAAAAGTTAAAAATAAAAAACTTTAAAAAATGTATTAAAAAAATATGCCCCGTATAAAACAAAATATGCAAGCCTATGCTACCGCCTCAGCAACCTCCCGACACGACCAGCTCTGATCACCGGAAAAAAATGTCTTCATGTGTCAAAAATGTCATCTTGATGGAAGTTTTTGAGAAAAAAAATTGGCATTTTGAAGAGTAAAAATGTCATCTTCATGGCATTTTTCAGAGAAAAATAGCAGTTTTTACACAAAATGACATTTTTTTAGCTGATCGAAGATAACGTTGTTGGGCAGTAGCCGAGACTGTGGGGAAGGTCTGCATATTTTTTTTTCTTAATATTTTTTAAGGTGTTTCATTAATTTGTATTTATTTTTAAAGTTTTTTTTAAAAAAAATAATTATTTTTAATTTTTATGATTTTCGTATTGTTTAGATATATTTTAATTTTTTTTATTTTTTTTACAATTTTTTGTATAAGTTAAACTATATTTTATTAGTTTTTTTATTTATTACAAATTAGTATGGAGTGTATGATTATCCTATTAAGTTGTGATAAGAGTAGAATAGGAAGATAGGGTATACTTTATTCCTATTTGAGGAAGACAAACATACCTTAGAACATTACACAAAAGACTTAGTTCAGAACAAACCAAAACTAAAAAGTGATGTAGTATGAATGGACTCCCGATCCAAATACTCGTACCACTCCGGAGTTGGCCCAACAAGCCGCCTAGGCCCGGGAAGCGATCAACCACCTCTCGGTTGGGCTTCTACACAGCCAAAGGCCACAGCAACACAGTATGGACTACTGGAAAAAGTAACCCTAAAAACTCCACCTTCCAAGTGACCCCTCGGCGACCCCTCAATTCACCGGGGCGGGGCTCTCGGCTCCACATCCTCCGGTCATGAGCTGACGCATTTAATGCCCCATCATGTGCTCGAATTTACCTCATGTTTGAGATTCGCTCCAAAGATTAGCTTGCAAATAGTATACGTAGTTAAAATGTAGTAAGTTACTTCTTTTAAAAAGTACTCCCTCCGTCCCTAAATAAACTTCCATTTCGCTTTTCGAGGGTCAACTTAAATCACAATTAAACTCTTACTGTATATATCAAAATTTTATAAAAAGTGAATTATTTTTTGCAGACTTTGTAGCGGGTTTGATGTAATTTCTGAATATGTAAATTTTATTTTCTAAAAATAATCTGAGCTTTCACAGGGATCATTTAACTTTACTGCTGGTCAAACTTCGTAACTCGCAATTGGAAGTTTAATATGGGACGGAGGTAGTAGTTAGTTAGTTTCTTTAAATTACCTAAATAACCTTTAAAGTTTTGGATTCCAGAAGTACAGGACCACACCACACTACTATAAATCCACGTGTACGTCATTTAATGCAGTTAACATTCATGGCTAGTATTAATAGCCCCAACTGTACAGATGTAACATTTTGAATTTTCATTAATGCAATACACCATTTTCTTTAAGTTACTAGCATGTCATCTCCCTACACACTGCTAGTGTTATTTTGGCTTAGCCATCAAATAATATAGACAAATTCTTTAACAATAGGTGATAAAAATGTACTTCGTACATCATTGAATGTAATATAGTTCAAGTTTTTGGATGCTACTATATATGTGTAGAATAGTAGTACAAAATAGAGTGAACTGCTAGCTTTCAAGGTCCCACCAAATCCAAACTAAACTGTATATACATTCTCCTCATTTTCTGTGGTTTATTATCCACACATTTTAAACAAAGGAGAGGGCATATCATATGTCGACCACCGCCAAGGCTAAACCTGGGGCTGACATGAACACACCGTAAACTCTTGGCAACATGTAAAATTGTAAATCCTCTCTAAAAACTTAGGTATTCCTTTGCCAGCAGACTACCACACGCCGTTGAGCATATCATCATATCATGATTAAGCTAAGAGACCGAGTGGCGCCTTCTCTTCTGAAATTGAGACCGGCTTTCGGAATTAGCCTTCCCCCCGAAATTTCGGAGGTCCATCACCCGGAACAACCCGTTGATTTTGCATAGTTTCTTTGTCAATGATTTTAGAAACTTGTTTGCCCGATGTGGTCTCACCATATCCGCCTTCATCGAGATGTGGTCCTTCTCTAAATCCGTCAGCCTCATCCTCATCCTCGCCACTTCGAGTTTCAACTCTCTATTCTCCCTTCTCACCGACGCGTAGTTGTCTCTCGGTGAGATGCACGTGCTCCCCGCCGCACTGCCATTGCGGTGCGGAGGGAAGTTCCATGAGCCGTTGAATGCGGCGTGGCTGCTGTTGTAACCGCTACTGCTGTTCATGGCATTCCGAAGTCTGATCTGCTCGAAGTATAAGACTTGGATCGCCATTTGGACCGGTAACCTTTCGTTTTGAGCCGCATGGCTGCACGCTTCTTGTGACATCTTCTGGCAGTCGATCGTCTTACAAAGTCTATACTTTTCTGTGTCCTTCAAGTGTGGATGAACCTGAGATACACAATTCAATCTCTCATTATTAATTTTGTTGACGAAATATACTGAATAAATGTTGTGTTTGTATTAAATGACGTAATAATAAAAACCTTTGATTGAAGTTATAATTATAACTTATAAGACATAAAATTAGAAGTACTATACGTATCCCCAATTCCCAATGGGTCATTGCCAGGACTCCAGTCTATTTA